TATATATATATATAAAGGTAGGCCGAGAGTCGCCACGTGCTACTTCTCTTTTCCCTGAGGAAACGCTTTTTTTTTGTACTTTTCCTCCAAATCTCTTTGCTGCGTGGAATAAGCCTTCGTGGTTCGGTCGTGCTTCCCCCCCAAAGCGGTTCCCAGTTGCGTTATTTGGGATTGCGATGCAGGGTGGCGAACGCACCTCAATGGGGAGCTCCAACATTTCAGTCGCCCAAGTCGGGATGAATTCAGAATCCAGCCTGGTTATTTGTGGTCTTTTTTTTAAAAAAAAAAATTTTTTTTATGTCTTGAACGTGCATTGAACCAGAGCAGGAGATCAAGAGAGCAAGCAGGATCCCTCAGCTAATGATTAGCCTCTGTTCCCTAGACGTGGAGCGAGCTGGTTTGGAGGCAGTAGAAGTGAAGGGAGGTCATACATGCACGTGTGCAGCTAAATAGTAAATTTCCTTTCAAAAATGGCAATGCTGCGGGCTCAGGGTTTTGAGCTGTTTATTGCTGTAACATAAGGCCACTCTGGTTTTGAAACTTGGCTCTGCTTTAAAAGTCTGACTATTTTTTCCCCCTTGGCTCTAAACACATTAATTTGTTCAGAAGCTTTAACAGCTTTGTCCAATTTCGCCTCCACTACTGAAAACGCTGGATTAACTAAGAGAGATTAATTCCAAAGGAAAAATATATGAAAGTAGTATGTTGTAAGAAACATTTTTATGACACTTTAAAAGGCAGAATTATTGTGACATCCAGCTTTTGTTGACTAGTCACTAGACCACTTAAGGATTGAGTTGTGATTAGACTTGTCCTCTTATCATTTGGTTCTCAGATGTCACGTCTCTTTTTTCCCCTTTGTCCTGCTTGTTTCTGCACGTTGCCATGATTTTCATATGTACAACTGTGTATCCTTTTATTCTGCTGAGTTTTAGTAAACTTCAAAGTGTAACAGCTGAATTTTATTTTTGTGGCCATGGTTTAGATTTTAGATAGCTAACAAACTGTTTTCGTCTTTGCAAACTTGATGAGCACCAAGGTCCTTCTTGGGCCTTTTGTTTGCTTTGAATTATACTTTCATATTTCACATTATTCAAAATTGCTGGTAATGGGGAGGAGGAGAAAGTAAGATATGCTATGCTGCCTTGCTGATTTGTCAATGACACCGTTCCTTCTGCTTGCCCAAAACTATTAAGGTTACATTTCAAGTTAACAGCTGTCATGCCAGATAGCAGTATAAATTTGGAAGTTTACATAATTTCTAGAATGTCATTTCTTTGCCCAGAACTTTCTTTGAATGGGAAAGGGCACAGCACTGTGAATCATGATGATATGATAAGGTGCTTTTTATTAAAAGGTACAAAGGTAATCAAGATTTGGTACAAACTAGCTCTCCAGATATGTGAGTTAAAGTTAGATTTCTGCATTAAGAATTCGAGGCTGAAATCCACACACCTACAAGGAACTCAAGTTGGGAAAATTGGACATAACAGACTTTTTAAAAAAAATAAGTGGCTAGCATAAATATTAACAATTGATAAGGAGTAGCTGTGAAACTTGACAGTTTCTGCCAGGATATCATATTTTAACTTAATATGGTTGTATTTATTCATTAACTGTGGTTTATTAAATACTTTATAAGATTCACATTAGGTGGTAAACATACCACAATATGGAAAACACAATCTTTAAATTCCAGTAACTTGGTAACCCACAAACAAGCAAATTGCATCATGGTTTAACATCCAGAAGGCATTTTGAAATTGATGGATTGATATTCATATTCCATCTTCTCTGTTTTCCCTGTTGTGGAATCATTGCCACATGATACAACAAAGTTTTCCCCCCTCCATTATACGTTTTTTGTTGTGAGCAGCTGAGAATCTGGGAAGATTTGGTGCCATCCAAGTCAAATATAAACGTTCTGCAAACCCAGTGAACACTTATTGTTGCATTCTATCTTATACATGTAGTCCACGACTTATAACTGATAAATTAGTAAAGTTTGAAGTTGCAATTGATACCTCCAAACATATTTACAACACAGTTCTGAAGTTCCAATAGCGACCCCTCCTATATTTTGGGTTCTTGACAACCAGTAATTTCCCCCTCAGGCTGCTATTGCTCCTCGGGTACAGAACAGTGGAAACATGTCCAGAATTTAAAAATTCAGATTCCCATTGATTACAGTGAAAGAGGTCACCAAGAAATTGCAAGGCTTAAAGAATCCTAATGCTTGAATTAGATTAATTTTACTATACCCCGCTATGCAATTCAGGTATAATTTGAACGCAGGGCTGATACAGTCAAATTGATATTCTCTTCATAATCTTGACATTAATCCCATTTCCTTTATGAAGTAGCTGACAGGCTCTTACTAATTTCAAACTTTTGCTTAGAGTGGAAGCAGGATGTCCTTGTTCATAAGTGGAAGGTTGTTAACGGTCATTGGAAGTTGCATAGCTGAAATTCCATTACTTTAATTTTAGTTATTGCATTTTTTCCAGGCATCTGAATCTGTTATTTCTCTATATAAATAAATACAGTAATTCAGTGTAAGCTAGAATACATTGAAATCTTTAGTTATCCAAAGGTATGAAAACTGTCTTTTTTAGCTGAATTAGGATATAACCTAGCATTGCAACATTAAACATAAATATGGCCAAAGAAGAAATGCAGATATTTAAAGAAGTAATTGCAAAGAAAACAATCAAGCTGCACTTTATAAGTATCATTATTTTATGGTTCTGTTCATTTAATGATTCTAAATTTCCAAAAAGCTACCGGTGTAATTTATAATTTTTAAAGCTACCACTGTAAAAGATTGGTTGATTTTTCAAGGCAACGTATCTAATTCTGGCTTATCCCATCTTTACAGAATCTTAAATATTTCCTATAATGAAAAAGCATCAAATTCTTTGCCTCAAGAAGCACCCTGGATTATTCTGGACCATTCATTAGTTTTCAGCCCAGCCTATGTCATAGAGTTGTAAGGAAAAGTATGAGGAAATGCTATGATTGCCACCATAGACTCTTGTATGAAATATGGGGTGTAAGTTAAAGAAAATAATTTTGAAAACATGGAAGGGTATTTATACGTGTACATGCGTAACAGAAAAACTGTGTTGCAACCAAAGAAATGTTAATAGCCTATTTCAGATTCTAGATCAAAACATTAAGGAAGAGTATTGAAGGTGGCTATATCTACATAAAGAAGGGTTTTGGAAGAACGTCAACTTATTGGTTGAGGAGAACTAACAGCCAGAAGAAACTTCAGAAGGCAAAATACAGACGTTTGGATTTCTTCCTCACTTTTACAAAAGTGCTTTTATTAGACACATTCCTTTCTCGCTCTAATTTTGTGATGTTTCGCTTGAAAGCACTGAGTGTGCCTCGCTTACTTGCCATGGATGCTGGAACCCAGCCCAGGTCAGCAAAACAAAAATTACACCAGTACCTAGAGAAAAAGTAATGAACATCTGAGCACCATCACTTTTGCTCTGCAGAGCAATATTTCAACAGGCTTTGATGAGTTCCATTGGCTGAATATGTTTTCATGGCCAAAAGTTAAAAACTTTCTCCTTGAGAGATATCCCCACTGACTTAAGATACATTAAAAAAAAAAAAACTGAGATTAAACTAGAATGTTCCCGAATCTCCCAGCTAAGTGTTGGAAGTGCGACCATAGCCAGGGAACGTATTTTCACATGTGGTGGAAATGTTCTCAAGCGTGAAAGTACTGGCTTAAAATTCGATCATGGATAGAAGAGCTAACAAAACAAAAGATTAAATTTAAACCAGAGATTTTTCTGCGAGGAATGTTAGAACAACATGGGATAAGAAGCACCAACATCAAATATTATACATTATAACAGCAGCAAGAATAGCTTTTGCCCCAAACTGGAAATCGACTGGTTCCCACAGATCTGGTGGTAATTAATAAAGTTCGTCAAT